TTCCAAGGAGGGGATGGATTTCAGAACTCTTTGGCATTTACGTGACACGGTTGAGTCCTGCTTCCATCCGCCTGGAATGAAGATGTTAAGAACACCTGAGAGTTTTACAAATACGTCCCTGTAGTTATTTACATGACACGGTTGAGTCCTGCTTCCATCTGCCTGGAATGAAGATGTTAAGAACACCCGAGAGTTTTACAAATACGTCCCTGTAGTGTCACTGAAACTCAGTCACCTCTATGGTGTAGACCCCAGCAACCTGCATACAATACCCCATTCAAACAGCAGAGGGAGAGGAAATTTTGGCCAAGGACCCCCAAATTGTGTTCCAAAAAGCACCTTACGCCCATTAACTTCCATACACAGCAGGCAAGGTGCTAGGCTTTTAATGTCTTCACTGAAAGACGTCTACCTTGCCCCTGCCAGGAAGACCAGTGGGAGTCAAGTGATCGACTTGGGAAAAACCAAGCGATGAGCTGAGTCTGCTGGGGTTTGAAGGCTCAAACGATTCTGCCATTTTGCAAAGATGATGGATAAGCCACTAAATGAGCCTTCTGAGTTAGTGGGAAGAGGCCAGAGCATTGACAGTGTATGTCAGCGGGGACTCATTTAAATACGATCATGACGTCATCACACCGCTGGTTTGGGAACCTCTGCAGTGCAGGCGTGTTTGAGTCATGGCTGGGAAAAGTGACTGCCCTCGCCACTTCCCCCTTTTTAAATTACTCCTGACTTTTCACTCGCAGTCCCAAAACTTTCCTCCTGGGAGCAGAGCTACCCCTCAATCCCATGGCAAAGGCCTCGGGAACCGGATTCACTAAGAGGTGCTGCGTTAGTGAGGCAGCAAGAAGGAATTAAATGGCAGTGTGGAGAGATCCTTGTAAGAGCAGGGCTGCGTTAGCTGGATACACTGACAATTCCTGTGTTCGACAAGGAATGCTAATACCTGTGCAATAGGCAAAGCTCTGTGGCACGTTTCATGAATAATTCAGCTGAAATTGGACTGAAAACATGGGAACGCAGACGGATATTTACACCCAGTGCTGGCTCTTGAAAACCTAAACATTGCGGTACATGCATTTTTGTAAGGTTGCCAGCAGAGTTGCTAGTCAGTCAAGAAAGGCCGTATAAATTCTTTCCACGGACAAACACTAGCTATGATAGAGACATTTGAGTATAAAGAAAAATCACATTGATGAACAATGAGATTTTCCTCACATATTTTGATTTTATTACAAGTAGCAATACTTTGCATATTTATAGGCTCTTTTTACCCACATTTTCTAAATATTTCAATAATCATTGACTAGTGAATGCTCCTGGCTCCACCTGGAAGAAGGCAATTGAGAGATCGTGCTTACTTGATCAACCATCAAAATGGCAGCCACCTCTGGGGTGGAATGCAGCAGCCGTTTAACAGTGCACAACAGCCCTACAAGAGTTTGAGATAGGAAGTGAGAAATGTTGTAGCCACACCAAGCTCCAGGGAGAAGGGCTTAGCTTGGCAGCAGGACACTTAAGCTGAAGTTTGATCAAGATACTTAGCCTACCACCATATTCTTATAAAAAGCCTCATGGGCTCTTTAAATGAGCACAAATAGGAAGGACCATGGGTTGTAAATGGCAAAAATATTAAAGGGTGATTAGACCTTAAGAAAGTTATTAGCAGCCAGGGCTGGCCACAGATCGGAGACGCTAGTAAGAGTCCGGCAGCTCTTACTACCTGTAAAGTGCAGAGCTGCAGCGTGGGTGCCTCCCGGAGCTGACACGAACCGAGCTCGAGCAGGCGCCTGGCGCTACCCCAGCTGCGGCTCTGCACAGTGGTCCTATCAGCTAATCGTACAGTGGATACAAATTGTATCGACTATACGATTAGCTAGGTAACCGCAGTTTAACATCCTTCCTCTATTCAGTATCAAATGCTGAAGCCAGAATGGAGAAGAGGAGCAGACGAGATGGAGACAACTGGGAGCTGCGCTACTGAGGTTCAGATGTGGGCTGTGGGCAAAGCCATTTGCTTGGGAACCAGCAGCCAAAAGTGTCCTGGCAGACCCATAAATCTCCCTCAAAGCTCAGGCGTGCCTGGCCACACAAGTGCTAAGGCAGTGGAGCATTAGAGATGGACAGCTAGAAGTGCAGGGCTCATCTGCTGAGGTGGTTCTGACCATCCTACAGGGCTTTGACTTTCACAAACTGTAGCCAGACAGGAACCCCCTCCACTCCCCTGTAACATCAATTTTTGCTTGCCTGGAGCATGCAGGGCACACACAGAGCAGAAGGCCCAGGCTGTGTGACCGTGAATGGCTGTAAACAGAGATACGCCAATTGCTGACCAAGAGGCTGCCAAGGAGTGCCCTTGACTTAACCCATATTGATACGAACACACAGCCGTCCGCAGGGGGAGGAATCTCTCGCCCAGCAAAAAAATGTCTAGTACTCACAATTTAGTTCTCTCTCTTGCAAGTGTAAATTAAGTTGAAACTTGCTTGTAAGAACTGGCACCACAAAACGGACCAGGACAATTTGGTATCTTAAGATAAGAAAGATACGGGCCCCCAGGGGTATAAAGATGGGTCCAGCAGCACATTTACTCTGAGCGTCAATCTACCATCTATCTGCTGGTCGGGTTAGGT